TTCCTCCAGAGACTTAACCTGTAATGAATGCTTTTGGGAGATGGATCACTGATTACTTACCCCCCAGTGATTGTCAAAGACAAAAGGAAAGGTAATTAGCATGAGAACAGAGCAACCCAGCTCTCTAATCCTTGAGGGCCTGTCAAGGTCACTGTAGCCCATTCCCTCCATCCATGTAGCATGTTGACCCAGACTGCTAGTCACATGGAACTTCATTTCCAGTAGCTTAGTCTCTCTTCAAGATGAAAAGTATGCACAACAATAAGCACCTATTCTCCAGAATTTCCAGTGATATGAAAAGTAAGAAAACAAAAATTTCAAAATTTTATTTATTTATTTTTTGTTTAGCTAACGTTCCAATCCTCAAAGTCTCACTATTCTTAAGAAGACTGTCTTTGGAAATAACTGAACAGTACATCTGTGCTTAAAATGATTTAAAGGGGTATAGTTAGCTTTTGTTCATATAATTCATGTTAGGACCTTATCTCTAGTGGAATTATAACAAACTTTTTCTACAAAACATATTTCAGAAATGACAGGAAAACTTTAGACCTGAGCCAGAGGAAAGTGAATGGGGTGGGGGGATGGTGAGGGTCTGTAACACCATGTCAAAAGAGGAGAGACACAGTCAATGGAAATAAGGATATTTAGTCTGAAAAGGAATAAGAAGAACAGACTAGAGGGTACTGTGATCACTTTCTTTTGATTTCTGAAGGCTTTTAAACCTCAGCAAGAAGCAGACCTGTTGTGTGGGTCCAAAAGCCAGTGTTTATGTATATGCTGGGGTAGAGCACTATAATTGGGACAACCATTCTGGTTTCTGCTCAAAAGAGAAAATCCACAGTTTCTTGGGGGAACTATTTGATATGAGCAATATATTTAATAGAAACATAGTGATCACTTATTGGCTTATCTTTATTCTTTTAGATAAAAAAACAAGCAGAAATGGCACAGAGACTGGTTGATGAGTTTACCATTGATGGGAGACTCAATGCCACAGTAAATTTACAAAAAAAAAAAAAAAAAAAAAAAAAAAAAAAAAAAAAAAAAAGATAATTCTATCTACTTTTGGTTTCAGAGGGTAACATTGGAAGGAAACTGGGTCACCAAAGCACATTAAGAAAAAGCCAAGGAGCATCTGAAAACACTTATTTAAAAAGCAGTGGAAATTCCTCTTATCTGCCCACTAATTTATGTTTCACATTTGTGTCTCCTAAGACTGTGGGCAGGAGCTGTAGTATAAGTTAGAGCCATTATCAGGTTTAGTCTAATTCACTCATCTTTTTATTTATTCAAGTGAAATGGTAAATTCACAGTAATTCCCTCACACAGAGGAGCTGTAGTGGTGGGTAGATGTTGTCTTCTATGTCTGGGACCCAAGATCTTAAACTTCTGGGTAAGTTCTGTTCACCTGGCTTTATTATCACCTCTGAAATAGTATTAAGCAGCAGCAGCAGCAGTTAATGTATATTAAACACAGGATCTGTTCTAACTACTGGCCTAAATGCCATCTCTATTATTTCTTTATTGTTGAAAGTATTACAGATATCCCCTTTGTAAATATCTCTTTAAATCCTCTGAACAATTCTGAGGTAAGTGGTATCATTATTTCAATTTTTCACATGAAAAAAAAAAAAAAACAGATACAGAGACAAAAGGCACATGAAGAGTAAATGGCAGAATCTGAACTCAAACCCAGTTAGTCATGCTTTTAACCACTGTTCCATACTTCTGCAGAACACTTCCCTGAGTGTTGTTATATCCTGATTCAAGGCAGCTGGATTTTCTAGTCTGTAAATGGGATTTAGCCATTGGATCTTGGTGGTCCCTGTGTGGAACACTGGAGTACTGTCAAGTACTGTGTTTGCCTGGCTATTAAGTAGAGGGCCAGAGATATATAGATGATAACATAAATTCACAACCCTCCCTCACTTGAGCTGCCAGGGCATAAGCAACAATCCCTGTCCCCACATCCCTCTACATGAGAAATTTCTGGCTACTTTGATGAAAAGAGCATTACCTCTCTTTCTCTTACCATCTTCTCTCTTGCTTTCTCTTTCTCTCTTCCACTCTTAGTTCTGGCTATCTCTTGCCCTATAACTTTCTGTGTAGTTACTTTTATTTCCTTTTATCAGTCTCTTTCTTTTCCACTGTCCTATTGTTCTACTTCTTCCTATTCATCTTTCCATTTTCCTTCAATCATCTTCTAATGACCTCTTTTATATTCCTTTCTTTCCACTCATTTTTCTCTCTCTTCCTTTCATTTTACAGAATTCTCCTAATTATTTTTATTTGCCATATTCTTACCAATTGGGATAGAAACGGAGAAGAAAGAACTATGTGCCCAATGTACAATACCAAACTTCCCAACTTTCCCTGCAGTAAAGCCAATGAAAATTCTTCAGCCTGGCTAGGCCCTAATTTGGGAAATCAGCCTTTCCCCACACTGTTTATTTCTTAGCAATCGATGGGTTAAGTGAACACAAGCAATTGAAAGAGGAGGAGCATCAGATTTGCACAAAACCTCCCAACTTCTATAAGCAGCAAAGAAAGCATGCCTTCTGTTACCATCTGGTACCTTTAGTCAGATACTTTTTGCTTGATGCTACAGTCAGTGAGTTCCTAGTAGAGTTCCTCTGTTCTGAGAGAAAATTCAGAATTTGACTGGTCCCAAACCCTTGTTGTACAAGAGAGCAGCCAAAAGGAAACAGTCTTGGTAAAGTATTTAGCAAGTTAGGTTTCAAAGATCTAGAACGCAAGCCTTCCCATTCTAGCCCAAGACTCTTTTATTTTAGCAACTTCCCTTTCTATCACCAGTGATTCTACTGTCTCATTAACTAGAGCAGTCTTCTGCCACTTGACTTTGCCACCATTCTCCCTCCTTCTCCTCCTCCTCCTCCTCCTCCTTCTCCTCCTCCTCCTCCTCCTCCTCCTCCTCCTCCTTCTCCTCCTCCTCCTTTTCCTCCTCCTCCTCCTCCTTTCTGTAGTCTGGGTCCCCTGTTTTTAGGCTGCATAACTATCTTGCAATTTTGCAATTATATTGGTTTAGAAAATTGTTCTGTGTCTACCTATGTCCTGCCTGGCATACTGGACTCAAATATAATTGTTTGAATTATATTTGAATCTCCCATTAATTAATGAATTTTGTTTTTTTGTACTAGGAGAAAGAGCAATGCTTCTCCAGCCAATGAACCTGGCATTGTATCTGAAGGAATAGGTCTTTAGGGTACAGGTTCTGGGTTCTGAAGTGTTGTCTCTACTTCAAGCACAGAAATGGCTTCAAAGGATGCCTGTGCCCTAGATGAGAGCCTATTTAAAGCACACCTATTGTTTCAGAGACTTGTCATTTAATGATTAAGCTTGGGAGTAAATTGTGTGTTTAGTAAATTGATTAGAGTGTTTATTATTATTAAATGATACGCACAATCTCTTCTGAAAATGAAATGTTTGTGGATACATGCAGCGGCCTTGAGCATACTCAGTATGAGTAGGGGAACAGTGTATTAAGCCTAAGGGATGGTTCTGGAAAGTGGGAAGTCAAGCAGATCTAAAGTACATGTAGACCAGAACCCAGGACTGGATGAATAGAGAGAATATGCTACACATGCAGTAGGTGTGTTCCGTTTTCCATGAGGGAAAAGAAATAGTGCCATAGACTACATTAGCCAGTCTCATTATATACACACATACATTGAGTCTTGTGTGGACTTTGTTTGTGTTAGCTATGTTACTGGTATGCTCTACTGAGGTTAGCTGTGCTGGGCTGGAGTGGGACTTGTTTGAATTTACTGTAATGATGGGATGTTTGATAGTTTAAAATGGATTTTGTTAGGCTGGACTAAGCAGCCTTATGCTCTGTTTGAGGTATGCTGGAGTGGATGTGCTAGTCTGGGCTGCAAAGGGATAGTCAGGGCTGACAAAAGCAAGAAAAGAGAAACTTAATTGTGTAATAATTACTTTTTTGGGTATCATTTTCCAACTTGGAAAATATGTAATGAATTCATCCATTCATACCAAATTATTCAGTCATCACTATCTGAGTAATAGTTCCTTTTCTGTTTATTGAGGATGCAGAGATAAAAACAAAAAACAGGGAAACTGCTCTTCAGAGATTCTTGGATTAGGTAGGAAGGCAGACTAGAAAGCAGACAGGTATAAGAAAGAAAAATAAATGCAAAGAGAGTGTATGAGGTAATGCCAGTCATCTCCAAATATTTGTCATTCAACTTAACAAAAGTTTCTCACTCATGCAAAGTCTATTGTAGATCTAGACTCTTTTGCTAATTTACCCTTATTTTTGAAAATATTACAGATGTCCCCTTCCCCCTCAGGACCCACTCACTCCTCCCCACATCTACCTCCTCCCAAACCTTCACCACAATATTGTGTCCATTGGTGACTCTTCAGGGCAGTTGTCCTCCATGTGTTGGCTCATCATTCCAGACTATATCAATCTTATGGTAGCTCCACATCAACATATGTTCCCATGATGACCATGGCAGGGAGGGGCTTGTATGGGACCATAATTGTTCTACCCAGGAAGGGACACATATTACTTCCTCACATAATCAAAACCAGTCCCATGACCCCTCTCTACTTTAAGCAGGCAGGGAGTGGGAGTGCATTCATCTTATATTCCTGGAAGTGGAAGAGAGTTGGATATTGGGATATTTGTAGCCTACCACAGTTAAGGATATTCCCAGTGTGAATGTCCACACAGGTGATTCCAGAGATCTCTAAGGACTCTCACTAAGCTTGGGATTCTGCTGTCATTCTCAATGACACCTAATAGAATGGACTTTGCACCTGTACCTAGCATGTTCTCCATGAAGAAATCGTATAAGTAAGAGGATTTTTTAAGGGGTTTCCCACTAACTGTGCCAAATAACCTTTCTCAAATGTAGCAAGCTGGTGATCATTCAGAGTTTTGCACTGGTCTCTCTCAGAGCTAAGGCCACAGGTTTTCCTGACACTCTGCTTTTCTATTTTCTTTGGCCCAGATGCAGTGACTGAAGTGAAGACTGATATCTATGTGACCAGTTTTGGCCCTGTGTCAGATACTGACATGGTAAGTGTAGTTCCTGGTAAAGTAAGAGTGAAAAATGATACAACAGATCAAATAAAATGTGTGTGTGTTTTTTCCCTATGGCAGAGCCTTTTAGCTATGTCCTATGGAGAAGCCTTATCTCAGATGAATTCCCTACCCTCACCATCCTACATTTTGCTGAATCAATCTCTTGCCATGCTCTCCCCACATATTTACATAAAAAACATACATCCTTAACAGGAGTATCCTTCTCTTCTTTCCACAACACATCTTTCAAAATCAATCTGGCTGCCTATCCACAATTAAACTTCCCTCTCCTCTCCCTTCACATTTTGCCATTACCACACAGGATTAGTACTGATAAGTCATGTGAAGAGAGCATTGTGGTGTGGACTCTCACCGGTGATATTATCAAAGAAGTCTGTTCCTTGCAAACAGGTCCAGAGACTTGGCTTGGCCAGGGTGATGCAGAGTGTCTGGAGTAAGAGTCTAAACTACTTCTGGAAACGAATCCTTCTATGGATGTGAGCAGTTAGAGAGCTTTGGAGCATATTTAAGGAACAGGGCAGAGCATAGTAGAGCTAGAAAGGGGATGACTCCTAAATCATTTGCAAGAACTTTCCCTTCTCCTATTGTTCTCCATTGCTGCCAAAGCAAAGACTGCAGAGGAGAGTTGAGACAGAAGACCCCATCCTAATGGTCTATCTGATTAATACCTACTAAGTATCAGATATTGATTGAATAATTATTATGTCAGTAAACAGAAAAGCTATTATCTGCTCAGTATGCCTGGCAGTTATTAGATGCTCAGTAAATTTTTGTTGAATGAGTGATGTTGTGTTGAAAATAACAATTTTTAAATCAGAAGAAATGTATTTAAAAATATGAAATGTCCATGTTTATTACTCATTTTTCTCTGTATCACTATCTTCAGTGAGACTACTACTTAGCAAGGGACAGGGCTTCTTTAGACCTGTTGGGTAAACATAAACAGTGGATAGGGACATAATAGAGTTTTTCCTGTAGGTAATATAGAACCATTGAGTAGGGCAGTAAAAATATGCTTTGTTTTAGAATGATTGATCTGGCACTCTCTATAGGATGGACTCTAAGAGGCAAAATACTTGCGGATCAGAATTGGTTTAGGCATGTTGGCTTCATAAGACTATCCCTTCAATCACACAGTTCTAGGAGAAACAGGTTAGTTCTCAGGATAGGGAGTCATGAGTGGTTATGAGGGAAGGCAGGGAGATAGTAGAGGTCTAAACTTTGTATTTCTGGTGTGGAATACTATGCATGGACATAGTAGACTCCCTGTAAACTCCTTAAGGGCAAGCACCAAGCCTTTATGGTTTCTCTGGCTTTTAATAGAGTGCTTGGCACACAGGGAGAGCTCAGTGAAGGGAATGTTTGACATGGAGGGCATAGGAAATGGGTCTTTCATAGGGTCAGCAGGAATCCCTGTATGTCTATCTTGCCCCTTTTCAACCTGTTGACTACTATGTCCCACAGATTCAGATCTAGGTGTGCATTAAAACTGTTGCCACTTGGTAATTCAACAGGTACCCCTTAAAAAGTTAAAATCTCCATTAAGGGGTTCTGGGAATTTCTATATTCGGAGAGAGCTTATAAGCCATTGAGGATAACCAGATTAACCAAAGATATGCAGTTCTCTCTTTCTATTGGTGGGTATTAGTTAATAATTAGGATTTTCATAAGAAAGCAACTGAACACACACAGAGACACACATACACACACACACACACACTCACTCTCATTCAAGCACCAACATTCACAAATACATTCAGAAAAAAATGTATATGCATGTAAGAAAATACACACAGAATATAAACAACCCACATGTTATCCTAAGCACTCCATAGACACACATGTGCAAATAGATTCCTAAATCTAGGGGTACTACAAACACACAAACAATCCTTGCCCAAACCAGCTTCTATCTTTGCTCCATCCCAACCCAAGCAAGCCAACCCTGAAGGCATTTCAAATAATCCAGACTTTCTATCTCTTTTGAAGTTTCATGTTCCACTTGCTTGTTGGTTTTTCTTCCTCATGATTAAGTAGAAAAAATGGCTCTTAATTGGGAGGTAAGACTTTGATCAAATAAACTTCAGGTTATTTTTAGCTGCACTTCCATTCTATCACAAGGCAGAATAGCTATCAACACCCTGGTTGGGAAATACATTTTTTGGTGTTTTAAAAAAAAATTCTTCATTGAAAATTTATTCATGTGCTACTTGGTAGACTGGGGAATTGACCCATGGTCAGGGATGACTTTTGGCGAAGCATCAGGCTTAGCAGCTAGTTGAAGCATGAACCCAGGCTCCCCTGAGATCACAGGTAACATGGAAAAATAGATGAAAAGTTATTATAGTTGGCTGGGTTCTTGACTCATTTGGTCTAGTATGCTTTTTAAAAATATATATATTTTATTGATTTTTTTTACAGAGATGAAGGGAGAGAGATAGAGAACTAGAAACGTCAATGAGAGAGTAACATCAACCAGCTGCCTCTTGCACACCCCCCACCGGGGATGTGCCCGCAACCAAAGTACATGCCCTTGACCAGAATCGAACCCAGGACCTTTCAGTCCGCAGACCGATGCTCTACCACTGAGCCAAACGGGCTTCGGCTGGTCTAGAATGCTTTTTAAGGAAATAGAGACAGACTTTTATTCACAAAGTGAGGGAATCATGGTGCCATTTTAATCATTGAACCAGCACCATCCATAATCCTTTATAGCCATTTCACTCCCTGGTCAAACACTGATCTCCAAAGACATAGATCCTGTGTTTGATAGAAAGCTACATGTCTGTTTTGTTAATATCAGTACCACCAAAGCCTAATTCAGTGTTTGACATTTGGTAGACTCTCAACTGTTTATTAAATACAAAAATGAATGAGATGGGAAAAATTAAATTTGAGGATAAAATTATAACTGTGTTCCTCCATTTGACTAAAAGTTCTTCAAAGGGAGAAAACAAGTCAGGTACATTTCTACATCTCCAGCACCTAGCACAGACACAGGTACTCTGTGATTGCTGAAATTAAATGAAATTTTAGTAGTAAACCCTGCAGATAAGGACAGGAAGTAACTTTATTCAAGGGACACTGTTAAATAGCAAGACTAATGAATTTCTGATCAATGGCTCCAAGCTTCAGGCTTGTTCATCAATATTTTGGTGGCTTTTCCACTCATACAAATAAGGAGCTGTGACAATAGGGGATTGGGCAGAGATGGAAGCTGAACAGTTGTAGACTTTTCTAAGGGGAAAGTCAGAGAAAGAAAGAAACTTAATGCAGAGCATAAGATATAAGTTGTAAATTGGTTATTATTGGGGATTTAATAGGCATCTCAAATGAAAGGCTTGTGTTAACTATTTGCAATAATTGGAGCTTGATGGCCACAGCATACCTAGCTCCTAAGTAGCAATACCAATTTTGTGTCAATGGTCTCCCAGAAGAGAAACAGAATAAGGGATACAATTTTAATTTGAATAAACAGGCCATGCAGACTTCTCTGATGTTCTATTTTTAAGAGAGTTTAGACCATTTTTTCAATATATGAAAAGATGGTGGCGGTAACAATGAGAGGAGACTGAAAAAGGTTTAGTAAAAATGCAGTTTCATTGTCACTTCTCTCTCAAATTGTGTCTGTTTATTCCTTGCCAATGAGTAATGGCTCTTGTCAAGTGGAAAATTTCCCTGGTATTCCAATAACATTTGAATATGAATACAGAGAAACTGGGATACTGGCTTAAAGATGGCATGCTATGCATATGGTCAGTGACTAAAAAGGAAAATAGAACGTTGACAAATGATAGTTGATGAGAATAGATCTTAAGTGTTCTTACAACATACACACGCAATTAAGATAATAGAAGTTAGTATGGTAATAAATTCACAGTGCATATATATCCTGGCCCAAACCAGCTTCTGACAAAGTTTGTATCCTAGCTCTCTTCCTAAAGCTTCAGGCTCTGCTCTGGTCCTTAAACATGCCAGAGGTGCAGGGCCCAGGGTTCTGAGTTATGAATTCAATAATGATATTCTCTGAATGTGAGAAAATAAAGAGGACAAAGGGTAGTAATATTAATAGAGTCAGAGAGAATAACTGGGAAACTTAAAATACCAATTCTAGATATTTTCAACCTCACCATTTTCTCTGCTTATATATCTGGTAGATAATAAGTGCCCAGCTCCCACTTGTCAGATAAACTTCTTAGGATATGTGGTTGACAGCCAGGTAAAGTAGATGATGTAATAAGAGAACCAACAGTCCAAATTGATTAGAAAAATAAAATGGAGGATTGGGGGGGGATCAGAGCCAATAAAAGACATTATAATCATAACTCTTGGTAACATATTCAGGTAACCTACATTTTGTTCTGACAACTGCTTATGAAAATCTTGCAAAGTTAATCAGAGTATTCAAAGACTGTATAGGAAAATATGGTGTTATTAAAAGAAAGTAGCATAGAGACCTCTTTCCTGGTGGGTTTGACATTATTGCACCTGTTTCCTTTCTAGCACTAGAAAAAGTAGCTATGTCCACTTTAAATCTTCACTTATTGGTGATCTTGGGTACAGAAGAAGAGAGCCTTTGTCTATTTTGAATGCCTCTTAGGATATCAGTTTCCTCTTATTCCTAGGATACCATATTCCCATATGCAATATAGAAAGAGGGTCCATGTCTATAGGATTTTGCCTAGAACTCCATGACCAGGAATTTCCTGGCCACTTTATTTAAAATAGACAGGCAGGACACATAAACAATGCTAATAAGACAATTTCAAGGGCGAAATGCAACTAAAAGAGGCATATGAATTAGGAGTCTCTAAAATAGAAAACGATAGAAGGCAAATAGCCAAGGAAAGTCTGGAAGGCCAAAACAAACAGGGGAGGGTAGCCTGCATATGGGACAATGACAGTGCATTTACTGTAATGTAGTTGTCATGTACCTTGGCCTCAGACCCTGTTAATGTGGAATCAACCTCGAG